GGTTCCTTAGAAATAATCATGTTCTGGGGTGCCTGGGTAGCTCAGTTGGTTAAGCATCCAACTCTTAATTTCAGCTCAGATTGTGATCTCAGAATCATGAGATTGAGCCCTTTGTGGGGCTGGGCATGGATACTGCTTAGGATTCTCTCTCTCCCTCTCTCTCTGTCCCTCTCCCCCACCATACTTGCTTTCCATCTCAAAGAAGAAAAATAATAATTATGTTCAGTTAAACACTTCTAAAGATCTCTGCAGGTTGAAATCTTCTGATTGCCACTTCTTATCTATGCTGTCCATTAACATAATTGCTCCTACCTTTTTCTTACTAAATTCTGCCATTTGACCTGAGCACTTTGGGATCTCATGCCCATTAAGGAAACTTACTCAGTGGTGTCATCTCATCATGTCATTCCCAACCCATGGAAGACAGCCACTACAGTTTTTCAAGAATGCAGACCTCCCCCGACTCTTACTAATGTATTTCTTAATACTTTAGTGCAATGTCCTCTGGGACCTCATGGATGATGTAGTAGGAGGATGTATGTATGTTCAGATTGTTCATGGTAAATCCCCTCGAGCATTCTTATTTTTCTAAGCATCTGGATTTCTTCTACATTTTGCCAGGAAAGTTTGGGCATTTCATCCTCATTAAATGTAGACTCCTTTGGGACTTAAGTTTCATTCAGTCAACAAGCAAACTATTAGAGGACTTAGAGCTGCTTAAGCAAACATGTTATATTTGGCTCTATCCAAACTCTTTTGGTCAAATTCACTTCAAATTCATTTCCTTACCTATTCCCTAGGTTTTTGCTTTATCAAAGTCTTACAATTATTTTGGATATAAGCCCTCTCTCAGTTAACACATTGTACTTATTCTCTTGGAGCATGCCTAGATCTTATTTTAGAGACAATAAGGAATGGTGGGGGTAGGTTTTGACAATAGGCATCCCTTTTCAAGGCAATGGTCCAAGTAAGAGCATTACCAGTTTTTTTTTTTTTTTTTTTTTTAAGATTTTATTTATTTACCAGAGAGAGCGAGAGCACAAGCAGGGGGAGTGGGAGAGGGAGAAGCAGGCTCCCTGCTGAGCAAGGAGCCCGATGTGGGACTCAATCCCAGGACCCTGGGATCATGACCTGAGCTGAAGGCAGACACTTAACGACTGAGCCACCCAGGCGCCCGAGCATTACCATTTTCAAGCAAGAGGAGGCTAACTTCAGTCATGGGAAGAGGAGTTGTTTCTGTTTACAAAAGAGGTTCAGAGGGACTCTGTGGGTTCAAGATTATAACTTCATCTGAATCCACTTGGGAGTCCCTATTCTACATTTTAGGGTCCCACTCCTTCTAAAACAGTGCTGTAATTTTCACAACAGAAGCTTAGAAAGTATATGTACTCAGCTTTCACTGTAGTTATTTAAGCTGCAAAATTACATTTTATGTATGATTCTCAGTAGGATCATACCTGGAGGACGGGAAATAAGAAAGTGCTACTTCAAAAGCTCTAGCTTTCTTACCATGGCTTGAACTGAAAGTTAATAACCCAAAGTGTTTCATTTTCTTCTCTTAAGCTTTCCAGAAGCAGCCAGCTCATTTATTGTCATTATTACTACCGTAATGGCCAAGTCAAATAGTCATTTGTCCCCTTAGGCACTTGTTTTAATAGGTATGTGATCATAATGAACTATAAGTGGTAATTCAATTAATCATTATGCCAGTGCATGATCACTAGTATCTCATTTTCCATTGGCAAGGAGCTCATCAGTGTATTGAAGGTCAAGGACATAATCAAACCAATTCCTGAATCCTGTTTCTGGGACACCTCCATTACCAAAAAAACGTTTGGGTATTTCAAGTTTAATGTAGGATTGGTTACACAGGTGTGGAAGACTAAAAGAGCAAAAAAGTAAAACTGAAGTAACCTATGTATAATAACTGCTTCAGGAAGTTACCACTCTTAGGTCTAGGTCAAAGGGATTAACAGAACTTTGACGCTCTGAGGAGTCCCTTGGACCTGAGTGAGGATCAGGCTGCTGTGGAATGCACACTCTCTAGCTGCTATTGGTGTCTGAGGGGATGTCAAGAAACTGGTTATATGAATACTGAAAAAAGCCAGGAGACTGAAAGCTACAGGATGATACTGATAGAAGTATATGCAAATAGGAAGAAGGAACGCTTTCCTCCTCTCTGGTAACAAATGATCTCTATCTAATAGTATCCCCTATTTGCAGAATCTATTGGGGAAACATGCCAGAGGACAAATAGAATTTTGCAGAATGCTAGCCCCAGCATCACACAATAGACTACAGAAGGATGAATTTGTAGTTAAGAAAACAGTAAGTCAGGGACCAGCCTATTAACTTTAGCTGTTTTTCCGAGGTTCTGAGAAGTTGTGACAAAATTTAGAGATATGAAATATCATTGCACACATTCTCTTCATAGATACTTTGGATTCCAATAGTGATAGTCTTTCCTGCTCTGGACATTTTCTTTTCCATGTCCTACTTCTAAGATTACTTTTCTTGAATCTAACAACCGGGAGAAAGTATAGGTTTTTGTCTTTGGATCAGTGATTACTAGAGTATCTGAACTCTTGTTATTTTCACACTTTCTTGGCTATGACCTACAAAGAGAAATACCTGGAATCCAAAGCACACATATGCAAATATGTATCAGAATCAAAAGTTTTGGGAAACAGTACTTGGTCCTAATTATTAAGTGCCATGTACTGATCATTTGTATCCTATCCTATTCTTTAAAAGACGATCACAACTCACAAAAATCAATATTGTAATCTAAATTTGGTAAAAACTAATCAGAGCAATAATGTGAAGTAAATGTAAATATTTCTTTCCTGGCTTGTTGGTATCAATAGTGCTTATTTGTGTGTTTTTGGTCGTTCTTGTTTTTGTTCTTGTTCAGGTTCCCAATCTGTTGTTTTCCCTTAAATTTAGGGTGAGAAAAAAGATGTTTTAGAAATGAGCTTATAGTTTTGGTGGTGGTGGAACATATATACAAAATGATGTTTCAGTGGAAGCATTCCTTATGTTCTCTTCTTCCTTACTCCTCCCAGTGAGGGGGAAAAAAGTGACTATATATGTAAATTAAGTGAGAGAAAAACCAGATTCTTTAATAATTATTCCTTTACTCGTTAGTTAAATATTTAAGTACTTTCTCTGTAAAATCTTGAGCTCCAGGCAGAGGATAAAGCCATTAAAAACACAGATGTGAACTTTGCCCTTGTGGAACTTATATTCTCTGGGGGGTCCTAAATGTCAAATGATTAATACCAATTATAATTGGTAGTGGTGAGGAATTAGAACCAGTCTGAGGTAGTAAAACATGCTCTGAGTTGAAAAACATTCAATCTGAGATAGGAAGGGTGGATATAATTAGCTAGAAGAAAAATGGAATATTGGTATGAGATGGGAAAGAAAGAATATTCTTTGAAGGAATAGTCTGTGTTCCCCTAGGAAATGGGAAGGATCAAGGTGAGATGGAGGAAATGAAAGGCTGTTATGGCTGTTAACAGAGAGATTGGAGATAGCCTAGCACAAGCTAAGGATGGGGAGGTAGATAGGATTTGGATCATATAGGGGCTTATACGCCTCTTTAGCTCTGTATGAAGAGCAGAGGGGAATATTGAAGAAAATGACATGAAGACATTTCTATAATTTCATTTTTGTGGTGGTAAGGAATGACATGCAGGGGAACAAAGGAACATTCAGAGATTAGTTAGGAGGCTATTGCATCAGTCCACGTAAGAGGTGCTCGTGGCTTGTGCTAGGGTGTCAGCTTCAAAGGGGAAAGGTGGATGTCTTAACTAAAAGATATTTAGGAGGTAAAATTGAAAGGACTGACTAGATATGGGAATTGTGAGAGAAGAAGGTATCAAGGATAATGCCAGAAGTTTCTGGCTTGGGTAGCTAATATGAGGAACAATGGAGGGAGGATCAGGCTTGGGGAAACATTAATGAGTTAAACTTTGGATATACTGAGTTTGATGTTTGAGATCTTACTAGGTACCAGGCAGTGTGCTAAGCTTTTCATGTAAATACCTGATTTAATCCCTAGAAATGAGATAACTATTAAGTGAGCAGAACAAAGATTTTATTTTTATTTTTTAAGAGTTAAACATGTTTAATTGTTATTAAGAAGAATCCAGAAGAGAAGGAGATGTTGCAGATACTGGAAAGGAAAAGCATACCATAATGTAAAGCTAATTAGAAGATGGTTTTAGAATGATGTTGCCTCTGTTTTATAGAAAGAGAAAAAGGGAGTACATGTGTGGGTTAGTTTGTGGATTTGATGTCAAAAAAGTAAGGGAATTTCATCTTGATGGCATCTGTTTTCTATGCAAAGCAGGAAAAAAATTATCTTTTAAGACTGAGTGGCTCAGATGGTTAAGCGTCTGCCTTCGGCTCAGGTCATGATCCCAGGGTCCTGGGATCAAGCCCCGCATCGGGCTCCCTGCTCTGCGGGAAGCCTGCTTCTCTCTCTCCCTCTGCCTGCTGCTTCCCCTACTTGTACACACTCTCTTTCTCCCTGTCAAAAATAAATAAAATCTTAAAAAAAAAAAAAAAGGACTGAGGAGTACAATAGAGTGGAGATTTAAGGATGGTAAATTTCTGAGTTTTTTGGAAAGTAGAGTTAATCAAATAATGTTTCAGTAAGCAAATGAAAGTGAATGAAGAAGACACTGTTCTTAATTCAAAATTAATGTTTTATTAACATCATAACAACATATGGCAAAAATCTGATTAAATGCTAAATGATATGTATGATACTGCTAATAGACATAGAAAGGCAGGGATGGGAGGGAGAGTAATGTGGCTTTCAGTCACCAGGAAAGATTTTATGGAGGAAGTAAAACTTTAGTTAGGGCTTGATGCACAGGTAGGTAAATTTGATTGGAAGACCAACATAAGCCAAATATGGAATGGGTCCTTAGTGGTAATCTCTAATGATTTGGTTGATGATAATCTTTCTTTCTATGTCAATATTTCAGTGACTATGGAGGTGAGACTATACCAGGACCTGCATTTGATCCAAGTCACCCAGCTTCAGTTCCTGCTCCCTCTTCCTCTTCAGCATTTCGACCTGTAATGCCATCTAGGCAAATTGTAGAACGACAACCTCGGATGCTGGACTTCAGGGTTGAGTACAGAGACAGAAATGTTGATGTGGTACTTGAAGACAGCTGTACTGTTGGTAAGGTTTTCCCTAGCATAAAGCCTTCATAAACAATTTATTAGGTAAACCTTTAGTTTATATTCTTTTATTTTGAGTTGACTGCCAATAAGAAGGGAAAAAAGGCAAATTGAAACTGATATTTTCCATACAGATAATTATGCTGCATTTTAAAATACTGCGTTGATACTGAGGCAAGTTTGAAAATAATTATTTTGTTCCACTTATATGGAATGGTAGAAAATGCTGTTTTAGGGCAGACGCAAACCAAACTTTTAAGTATATTGTGTATTATACCTTTTCGCTGAAATTCATTCTATTTTCATGCTATGGTTAATGAGAGATCAGAGAAAAGTTGGATAAGTGCTTCAGTACTATCCTTTCAAAGGAAACTTAAGTGTATGACTGCCATTATTGGACAGATTTTACCTGATTTCTTTCTTTTCTTTGCTTTTTCTTTTTTTTTTTTTTTAAAGATTTTATTTATTTATATGATAGAGAGATAGCGAGAGAGGGAACACAAGCAGGGGGAGTGGGAGAGGGAGAATTAGGCTTCCCGCTGAGCAGGGAGCCCAATGTGGGGCTCCATCCCAGGACCCTGGGACCATGACCTGAGCCGAAGGCAGATGCTTAGCGACTAAGCCACCCAGGCGCCCCAACCTTTCCTTTCCTTTTCCTTTATCTTTCCCTTTCCCTTTCCTTTCCTTCCGCTCCCCCTTCCCTCTTCCCCTCCCCTTGCTCCTCCCCTTCACCTTCCCCTTCCCCATCCCTTTCCCCTTCCCCCTTTCCTTTCCAGATTTTACTATTTATTTGACAGAGAGAAAGAGAGCACAAGCAGGCAGGCAGAGCAGCAGGCAGAGGGAGGGGGAGAAGCAGGCTGCTGAGCAAGGAGCCTGACGTGGGCTGGATCCCAGGACCTGGGGATCATCACATGAGCCGAAAGCAGACGCTTAACTGACTGAGCCACCCAGGTGCCCCTTTTTTCTATAGAGAAACTATGTTGAATTCATATTTGATTCAGATTACTTGACCCATTAATGGAATTTTGCCTTAAATCTAAATTCCAGATATTTCTGAAATCTTTCCTTTGTTTTTTTAAGGAAGATTCTTGCCTAATTTTATTTAATTTTTTAACTGAGGGCACTTGGGTGTTTAGTAGGTTAAGCATTCAACTCTTGATCTCAGCCCAGGTCTTGATCTCAGGACTCTGAGTACAAGCCCTGTGCTGGGCTCCAGCTGGGTGTGGAGCCTATTTAAAAAAAAAAAGAAGAAGAGGTATATTGCAGAGAAAAGCAAAACTGTTAAAAGATTGATCATTCTCAAACACTAATCAGATTGTTATTTCCTTACTTAGAAACTTTCCATTGGTTTAAGATAAAATTAAAATCTTTCACCATGGCCTGTAAGTCCCTGCTTGATCAGGCTCCTGCTACATCTCTGGTTTTCATCTGTTACCACTTTCATCCTTGCTCACCATGCCTGAAGTGTTTTGGACTTGTTTCAGTTCCTTGAATAGGTTATTAGCCCACTCAAGGCCTTTGTACATGTACCTTCTTCTGCCCAGATTTCTTTAGTCCATTCATTTTTTTCCATGGCTCATTCCCATGCCCCCTGTATACTTCTTTTTTTCCCCCTAAAACTGTGGTAAAAAAGTACATAATGTATCTATCCTTTTAACACATTTTTAAATGTACAATTTTTAAATGTACAGTTGTTAACTATATGCACATTGTTGTACAGATCTTTAGAACTTGTTCATCTTATGTAATTGAAACTTTGAAATTTGAAAATTTGAAACATCAAATAGCAACTCCCCATTTTTCCCTTCCACCAACCCCTGACATCCATCATTCTACTTTCTGCTTAGATGAGTTTGACTACTTTAAATATATCATATAAGTGGAATCATACAATGTTTGTCCTTCTCTGTCTGGCTTATTTCACTTAGTATGATATCCTCAAGTTTCATCCATGTTGTAGAATATTACAGGATTTTCTTATTTTTTTTAATGTTGAATAATAATCCGTTATATGTATATACTACCTTTTCTTTATCCATTCACCCATCTGTGGACATTTAGGTTGTTTTCACCTCTTGGATATTGTGAATGCTACAGTGAACATGGGATTGCAAGTATCTCAAGATTCTGCTTTCAGTTTTTTTTTGGATAAATACCCAAAAGTGGAATTGTTGGATCATATGTGGTTCTCTTTTTAATTTTTTGAGGAATGTCCATACTCTTTTCCATAATGGGTGCACCATTTTAACATTCTCACCAATATAAAATGCATAAGGGTTCCAGTTTCTCTACATCCTTGCCAACACTTGCTATTTTCTGTTTTGTTTTTGATTTTAATGGTCTTCTTAACAGGTATGCGGTGATATCTCATTGTGGTTTTGATTTGGATTTCCGTGATGATTAGTGATGTTGAGCATCTTCTCATATACTTATTTGTATGTCTTCTTTAGAGAAATGCTTATTCAGGGCCTTTGCCCGTCTTTACATCAGGTTATTTACTTTTTTGCTTTTGAATTGTAGGATTTTTTTATATATTTTGAATATCAACTCCTTATCAAATATATACTTTGCAAATATTTTCTCCTTTACAGTCTCATTGATTGTTTCCTTTGCTGCACAAAAGCTTTTTAGTTTAATCTAGTTCCACTTGTCTATTTTACTTTTGTTGTCTTTGCTTCTGGTATCATATCTATGAAATCATTGCCAAGACCCATGTATGAAGCTTTTGCTTTATATTTTCTTCTATGAGTTTTAGAGTTTCAGATCTTATGTTTAAGTCTTTAAACAATTTTGAATTAATCATTGTATATGGAATAAGATAAAGGTCCAATTTCACTCTTTTGCATGTAGATATCCAGTTTTCCCCACACCATTTGTTAAAAAGACTATCCTTTCTCCATTGTGTAGAATTGGCACTCTTGTCAAATCATTTGACCCATATGCATGGATTAATTTCTGGGCTCACTATTCTGTTCCATTGGTCTATATGTTTTTCTTTATGCCAGTACTTACTGTCTTGATTACTTCGTAAAATGTTCTGAATTCAGGAGGTATGAGGCCCCCAGCTTCATTTCTCTTTCTCGAGACTGTTTTGACTATATAGGGTCCTTTGTGGTTCCTTATGAATTTTAACATTGTTTTCTACAAAAATGTCTGCAAAGGTGCCATTGGGATTTTGATAGGGATCACATTGAATCTGTAGGTTGGTTGGATGATATGGATTTTTAACAATATTAAGTCTTTTAATCCATTGAACATGTGATGTCTTTTCATTTGTTTCTTCTGTACTTTTCTTTCAACATTGTTTTATTGTTTTCATTGTACAAATCTTTTGCTTCCTTGGTTAAGTTTATTCCTGTGTGTTTTATTCTTTTTGATGGTATTGTAAATGAGATTGTTTTATTAGTTTCCATTTTAGATTATTTGTTGTTAGTGTTAGAGAAATATAACTACTTTTTGTATGTTAATTTTGTATCTTGTAACTTTGCTAAATTTATTAGTTCTAGCAGGGTTTTTTTTTAATGGAAACTTTAGGGTTTTCTATGTATAATATCATCTAGAAACATAGATAATTTTATTTCTTGCTTTCTGATTTGAAGGCCTTTTATTTCTTTTTATTGCCCAATTGCTCTGGCTAGGACTTCAGATACTCTGATGAATAGAAGTGGCAACAATGGGCATTCTTGCATTGTTCATGATCTTTAGAGGAAAAGATTTTAGTTTTCACCACTGAGTATGATATTAGCTGTAGACATTTCATATATAGCCTTTATTATGTTGCAGTAATTTTCTTCTGTTTCTAGCTTGCATATTTTTTTATCATGAAATGGTGTTGAATTTTGTCAGATGCTTTTTCTGCATCTGTTGAGATGATCATGTAACATTTTTCCCTTCATTTTGTTAATATGGTGTATCACATTGATTTCCATATGTTGAACCATCTTTTCATCACATGCATAAATGTCATTTGGTTATGGTGTATGATCCTTCTAATGTGCTGTTGAATTTGTTTTTCTAGTATTTTGTTGAGGATATTTGCATCTATATTCATCGGGTTGTTGGCTTATAGTTTTTATTCTTGTCTTGTAGTGTCTTTGCCTGGCTTTGGCATCAGGGTAATGTTGATTTCATAAAATGAATTTGGGAGTGTTCCCTCCTCTCTGATTTTGGGGATGAGTTTGAGAAAGAGTGACATTGATTTTTCTTTAGATGTTTGGTAGAATTCTCCGTTGAAACCATCTGGTGCTAAATTTTTCTTTGTTGGGAAGTTTTTGATTACTGATTCAGTCTCTTTACTAGTTATAGATTTGTTTAGATTTTCTGTTTCTTTGGATTCAGTCTTTGTAGGTAATATGTTTCTATGAATTTACCCATTTCTACTAGGTTATCCCATTTGTTGGCATATAATTGTATATAGTAGTGTCTATATTCATATTTATTTCTGTGACATCAGTTGTAATGTCTCCTTTTTCCTTTCTGCTTTTACTGAGTCTTCTTTTTTTTCTTAGTTTAGGCTAAAAGTTTATCAATTTTCTTGATCTTTTCTAGTATCAACTCTCAGTGTTGCTGATTTTTTTAAAATTATTTTTCTATTTTAATTTCTGCTCTAATCTTTATTATTTCCTCCCTTCTTCTAACTTTGGGCTTAGCTTGTTCCTTTTTTTAAAGTTAGTTGAGGTGTAAAGTTAAGTTGTTTGTTAGGTCTTTCTTCTTTTTTTAAATATAGGCATTTACTGCTATAAACTTTTCTGCTTTTCCTACATCCCTGAAGTTTTGGCATGCTGTATTTTTGTTTGCGTTTGGCTCTAGATATTTTTTAATTTCTCTTTTGATTTTTTTCTTTGATCTTTTGGTTGTTTAGGCATAAGTTGTTAAATTTCCACAGATTTGTGAATCTTCCAGGATAGATGACATGTTGGTCACAAACAAATCTTTTTCTTTTTTTTTAAAGATTTATTTTTATTTTCTTTTAAAGATTTTTATTTATTTATTTGAAAGAGA